TGCAGCGTCATCCCATCTCCAGCCCGCAGTCCAGCTCCAGTTTTGCTCCGACCCGAGCTCCAGCTCTAGCTTCGTCTGCACTTCCAGTTCCAACCGAGCTTCACATTATATACATACATGTTTACTCCCAGTTCTCCTCCTCCTCCCCCTCCTCCCTCCTCCCATGCGTGCCTCTGCTCTCCGCATGTCCATTTCGGCACTCTGCCTCCGCATGCCCATATCGGCACACCCCTCACGGTCCGTGGCCCCAAAGGGAGCTCCACCCAAGGCCCCAGTGGCCGCGTTCACATGCGTCCACCCCGCCAATTGCATGCCCATTTCGGCGCACCCCTCACACGGTTTGCGGCCCCATAGGGAGCTCCACCGAAAGTCCCAGTGGCCGCGTTCACATGCGTTCACCCCGCCCACCGCATGCCAATTTCGGCACACCCCTCACACAGTTCGTGACCCCATAGGGAGCTCCACCGAAGGCCCCAGTGGCCGCGTTCACATGCGTCCACCCCGCCCACCGCATGCCCATTTCGGCACATCCCTCACGCGGTTCGTGGCCTCATAGGGAGCTCCACCCAAGTCCCCAGTGGCCGCGTTCACATGCGTCCACCCCGCCCACCGCATGCCCATCTCGGCACACCCCTTACACGGTCCGTGGCCCCATAGGGAGCTCCACCCAAGGCCCCAGTGCCGCGTTCACATGCGTCCACCCCGCCCCGCATGCCCATTTCGGCACACCCCTTACACGGTTCGTGGCCTCATAGGGAGTTCCACCCAAGTCCCCAGTGGCCGCGTTCACATGCCTCCACCCCGCCCACCGCATGCCCATTTCGGCACACCCCTTACACGGTCCGTGCCCCATAGGGAGCTCCACCCAAGGCCCCAGTGGCCGCGTTCACATGCGTCCACCCCGCCCACCGCATGCCCATTTCGGCACACCCCTCACACGGTTCGTGGCCCCATAGGGAGCTCCACCCAAGGCCCTAGTGGCCGCGTTCTATGCGTTCACCCCGCCCACCGCATGCCCATTTCGGTACATCCCTCACACGGTCCGTGGCCTCATAGGGAGCTCCACCTAAGGCCCCAGTTTCCGCGTTCAGATGGGTTCACCCCGCCCACCGCATGCCCATCTCGGCACATTCCTCACACGGTTCGTGGCCCTATAGGGAGGCGCTCCACCGAAAGCCCCCGGTGGCCGCGTTCACATGCGTTCACCCCGCCCACCGCATGCCCATCTCGGCACACCCCTCACACGGTCCGGGGCCCCATAGGGAGCTCCACCCAATGCCCCAGTGGCCGCGTTCACATGCGTCCACCCCGCCCACCGCATGCCCATTTCGGCACACCCCTCACATGGTTCGTGGTCCCATAAGGAGCTCCACCCAAGTCCCCAGTGGCCGCGTTCACATGCGTCCACCCCGCCCATCGCATGCCCATTTCGGCACACACCTTACACGGTTCGCGGCCCCATAGGGAGCATGGCGCCCAATGCCCCAGTGGCAGGGTTCGCATGCGTCCACCCTGCCCACCGCATGCCAATTCGGCACACCCCTCATACGGTTAGTGGCCCCGTAGGGAGCATGGCGCCCAAGGCCCCACTGGCAGGGTTGGCGGCGCACGGATTTCATCCGCAAAAGGCGTCTTACCAGCGTCACTCGCCGCCACTGCGACCTCCTCGGGCCGCACCACTCCGGCGGTGCTGCGCAGCTGGTCCTTCATCCGCCTTCTCGTCCTCCTCCTCCTTGTCCTCTCCTTCTCCTCCTGTTTCTCGTCGTCCTCCTCCTCCTTCAACCCCTCTCCGCAGTTATTCAACATGAGCACTACTCTCACATTTCCCATGACACTCGGATGTTGGCAAACACATGCCTGTGGTGTTGGATTCTCGTTTGTAGAGAAACCGGCCCCTCACCCGGATCGTGGCCTCATGGGGAGGCCAGTCGAAATGTGAACCCATAGCGGGGAATCCCATTTGCTCATGTACATATATATATATATAGTCGAGGGTTTGGCCCCCCCCCATGTTAATGCCATCGGGCCCCCCCCCCGCGCGATGGACCCCCCCCTCCCCCTGAGGATGTGGTGTGGGTGTGGTGTGTTGCTGTGGGTGTGTGTTGGGTGACCCAATGTTCTCCCCCCCCTCCCCCCTGTGGGTGTGGCGTGGGTGTGCGAGTGGCTGTGATTGTGGCGTCATGCTGACGTGCTTTCAGCAAGCTCCGGTGCTCGACGTCGTCGCCGCCGCCGCCGGTGTCGTCGATTTCGTCATTGTCGTCGTCGTCGTCGTCGTCGGCGTTGTCGTCGTCGTCGTCGTCGTCGTCGTTGCCGTCGTCGTCGTCGTCGTCGTCGTCGTCCTCCTCCTCCTTCTCCGCCTCCTCCTCCTCCTCCTCCTCCTCCTCTTCCTCCTCCTCCTCCTCCTCCTCCTCCTCCTCCTCCTCTCCCCCCCCATCCCATCTGGATGTGTGTGTGGCCGTGGGCCCAGAGCCCGCGATCATATATACATTTGTGTACATATAGTTGTCTGCATGTGCATGAATAAGTTTGTATTTGTGAATTTGTACTTTTTTGTGTATGTGTAGATTCCGATTCTTA